AAAAGTTTAAATGATTTTTTAGATTTATATTAAATATATTTACTTTTTTAGAATCGAGGCACACTCGTAGGAGAAATCGTAATTTGCCTACTACGAGGCAAATACGAAACAGAAGGGAAAACCATGACGAGCCTGTGAGGTAAAACTGAAATAGACGGCAAAATCGCGACGCGCCTGCAAAGCTATAAAAATTTCGGTTTTTTTTCTTATCGTTCGTTTAATTTCATTTTTTTTCGTATCGTTCGTTTAATTTCGTTTTTTCTTTTTCATTTTTTTGTATCGTTCGTTTTTTCTTCTCGTATCGTTCGTTTAATTTCGTTTTTTCTTTTTCATTTTTTCGTATCATTCGTTTTTTCTTTTTGTATCGTACGTTTAATTTCGTTTTTTCTTTTTCATTTTTTCATTTTGTTTCATTTTCCTAATTTCGTTTTATAGTTTCGTTTCATTTCTTAATTTCATTTTTTTCGTCTCGTTTATTTTTCTTTTCAGTTCATTTTTTTTTATTTTATTTTATTTTTTATTTTATTTTAAAAAAAAATTTAAATTAATAAAACTGTTGTACAACGATTAACAGATTGCATGTTAAAATAAAATGACTAGAATTTACAAAATATTTCTGGAAAAATTATATCATAGTAAAATTATATTTGTGTAATGAAATTAGTAATCATCTACTATAACGAATAATTCATTAACGCTATAATGAAGATTCTTATAATGAAGTCCTGATTGGCTGAATCAATAACTTCGTTATATCGAGGTGTGACTGTATTAATTAATATTAATTAAATTAAATAAATCAGCCAAAATAATATTTAACTTAATATAAATTATATAGTATTATTTGATTTTTAGCTAATTTGAATTTTATTAAACTATTAAATTAAAATCATTTAATTTTTATAAATTTTTGTTATATATAATTAATTACTTTGAAGAAAAAGAAAAAAATTCCAAAAAATTTTTTTTTTATTAATATTAAATCTAAACTTATTTTATTAAAAAAACAAAATTATATTTAGTAAAATTATTTTTCTTGTAATTTTTCTTCATATAATTAAAAAGAATAACTTAATAATTACAGGCTTTAATCTATTATATTTTGCAAATATATAAAATCAAAGTATTTTATAATAATTAATATATGTATATATAATATATTTCAAAGTATTCTGAATTATTAATAATTCATATTGATAAAATGCTATAATTTTGTAATAGTATTTTATAAGAAAAATTAATGATATTAATTTGAAAATAATATAGAAATCAGAGGATTTCAATTTAATTATATTGCCCCAGCAGAGGCGAAATTGGTAAAAGACCGAAAAAATCAAAAAATACTGGTTTTGGTAAAATAAAAACCTATCTAGCTCTAAATTGGGTGATTAGATTGAGACCACTTTTCGATCTTTAATCAGTTCTGTTGTGCCACAAAAAATTGGGAGCACAGTATTATTACTTTTCCGAAAATTTCCAAGACGGATCAAGACCGATCAGACTGACTGACCATCTTTAGTAGTACGGCGGTAATTCTGAGTCCATCCAAAGATTTATCTGATGTGAAGATGAGAGAACGGCCAGAAAACGGCCAGATGTTGAATCTTTTGTTGCGTAAAAAAAGTTTATATTACAAAGAAGACGGATTTGCTGTACTATACAACGCTTACCAAGCAACCAAGTTTAATTCTGGTTCAACGAACCTTTTCTTTTTTATGTCTCGGAACTACTTTGATAATCGTAATTTGCGTGCAACGTTGCAAGATATGCTATAAGCGGTTCTTTTTATAGTAGTTAATTAATTAACAGATTAACATATTGTAACAATGAATGTACTTTTTGTGTAAAGAATTCGAAATAATTTTTTATAAGGAATTCCAGTTGTAAAAAATATATTCATTCCCGTATGTAGCATTTAGGACGACGATCGGTGATAACGCGTGTCTTACGTCTCGAACACGAAAAAAAGGCGATAATACACGTGATTTGTTTAACCGAATTTATTTTATTTAGAAATTTCATATATTTAAAAAGAAGAATTTAATATGTGTTGATCAATGGGATTTCATATTAATAGCATAGTAACAGCAACATTTTAAGAAAGAAGTTCAGGAAATATCGACCAATATGGATTTTTTGAATGAATGCATTCTCCCACCCACCTAAAATCTTCATTCTATTCTTTTTAAATTCCTGGTTTCGGACATTTTATAGTTGTCATATCACGTGATAAAAAATCGAAAATAGAGGCGGGAGAGGAAAGGCAGGTGATTTGATTTTGAATCATACGTTAAACATATTTTCCTGTTACTTTAAACAGCTGATTGGTTGATGATGCTTCATATCATATCATCAAATTTGGCAAGATTGTGGTCCTGGTTGCATCACGCATTTAGTCGGTAACTATACCTGTATCAAAGATTGGATCATATGCTTTCTTTCCTATCTATATCATTATTGAAATGTCAGCCGAAAATAGTGAAACGAATCCGCTGCCGAAAGTCGAAGTTCTTCATGTATGTACCTGCCACGTGCTTAACGTTGTCGTACATGAATTTAATATAAATGAAGATAACAAAAAAAATTTTTTTCTTTTTTTAACCAATATATGACTGTATCTTATTTGTTTTTATCAAGCCTGTATACCTGTATATTAAAATATTTAAAGACCACATTTACTAGTTTAGTATCTGGTTTATTATCTAGAAAAATAAATATAAAAAGCGGATAATATGGAAACTTATAACGTTGAAACTGAAATTCAAAAACCAGAAGGCACGGAACCTTTACCTCATATAACTTTATCTACGAAGGTATCTGAGAAATCCAAAGAAAAACTTAAGACTTTGAAAGATATTCAAAAAACTAAATTAATCAAAAGTTCAAGTCTACCAAAATTACCTAATGATAAGAACAATTCGACAAATTATTTCGATGATAATTTACGAAAATTAGGTACAGAGAACAAATTCAATAAAAGAAGTGCTAGTTTTCATGGTTCTCATTTGTTCACAAATTACGCTGACACATATTTTACTCCCGAAACAAGATTAATGATTAATGAGCTAGAAAAACACGCTGATGAATTGGCAAGGTCTCAGGATCAAATAAATATGTTTTTACCAAGAGAAATTATTAATAAGTTGAAAATGGATAGGAGTTCTTTATATAAACAAAAATTTGCTGAAGAAGATGAAGAATTTGAATCAGACGCTACTTCCGATTATTCTGTTGATGATGAGGAAGATGATGTTCAAGAAAAGGTTTTATCTGAAGAACCAGATCCTATGTTTTCAAATGATCAAAAGGAGATTGTTGATGATGATCCGGAGAAAGCTTGGAAAGATTTTAATTGGAATTCAAATATCGATGTAACTACTATGAAGTCACAATCCTTAAGAAATTCTTATAGAGCCTCGGGTAGTTTCAATAGAAATTCTTATCATACAACATTTAAAAATGCTTCTTTGCAACAAAATTCTAGATCAAATTGTAAAAATATTAATATCCAACAATGGAAGAAAGAAAAAGATGCTGTGAATTATAATAGTAGAAAAATTTATAATCCTTCGATTGATAATAAAAGTGATTCTAGTATTGGCGGTTCTAACGGAATTTTGATTAAAAACGCTAATAATGTAAGATCAGATTATTTTGAACCTAGAATTGAAGAATTAAATCAACGTAAGATTTTTTAACAGATTAGTTACTTTTGAAAATGATTTCTTATTATTTCTTAATTTTCATATTTTATAAAAAAAAAAAGCATCAGAAAAAATAGAATCAAGCGTTGATAATAATTTGGATCAAGGTAATTAATTTAAATTCCTTTTTGTAAAAAAAGTATTTTTTTCCTATATTGAATTATTTTGTTCATTATATATTAGAAAGTGGAAAACACGCGTCTTCTTCATCTCGAGAAGGAAGTGATGATTCATTATGTATGTTTTTATTGGTCGCATAAGTATTTTCTGATAGTTTTACAAAATCATTCATCACTTTTATTTATTTTGTTTTGAAAAATAGTAACCGGTGATGCATTACCAGGTATGTCAACCTACAAGTGCATATTTTTTTTAAAAAAAAAATTAAAGACTTTTTTCTTTCTTAGATAAAATGTTAGCTCGAATAGTCAAGTTAGAATTCGATCCACAATCACCAAATTCTAAAGCAAAAACTTCCATAAGATTAATCATTCATTCAGTTACTCATCAGACAAAACCAAATTCATCTTATCATGAACTATTAAAAAAATTGTTTTTATTTCCTTTTGATTATCATTCTTTTGTATTTGATACTTTGAAAATTGACATTTACGAACATGCAAGTTTTTCGTATGCAAAGAAAAAATTAGGGAGAGCATTTATTAGGCTAATTAATTTGAAAGAATCCATAATGAATCGAAAGGACTTTGAAGGGTGATTAATCTCCTCGAAGCGTGATTTTCTTATTTTATTGCCTTTATTCTTCGATTTTAACCATAATTAGTAAATTTTTTCTTTTAAAAAAATAGAACTTTTCCATTGGAACTGAATGGAGTTTCGCATCCTCATAAAGTCGGATCGATACAAATTGCAATAAAATTCCATTTTCCAAGTGATCCACCACTTCTTATTCCAAAAATGCCGAAGCCAATTCGTTCAAAAACCGTGCCGTCTTTCTTTCCAAGCATCAATTCCGATAAAAGTAAACAAATAATGCCTCCTTCTGTAACAAATACAAAGAGAAATGTCGATGAAGAAGTATCAACCGAGATATCAGACGTTGAAGATGGAGAATTTGCAATAACTTATCCCGAAAATAAGCCTTTAGGTATACTTGATATGGTATTAAGTCAGGAGACAAGAGATGCCATTAAAGAGATTACTGTATTATACCACGCTTTTTTTGATCATGGATGGAAATTGAGTAAATTGGAATTTTTGAAAGCTTATATGTTATTAGAGAAATATTATATTAAAAAACCAAAGTAAGGTTGCCAATTTTAATTTGATTTATTTTTTTTTTTAAGATTCAAATCTTTTATTTTATTTTATTTTTTCTTGAAATAGCCCAGTTACAGGAATTGTGTGTCATGATTTAGAAAGGATTCAAAAGGCTCAAAAATATTTGAAGTATTCTATGGCTTCATATGTATGCGATTTATTATTCATAGGAAGGGTTTCTTTTTTAGAAAAATTTTGTTAACATTATTATTCAATTTATATTAGGGATCTTTCTTGTTCAATTGGTTCGGATATGGTCACAGCAAAGCTCATTTAAGTATGTTTTCCTTTTGTTTATTAATGATTTGCGTCAGATGACCTCAGATGCAGATTGACATGTAATCTGAAATTTTTGAAGTTTGTATGTATGAAATGAACTCCCGGACAATGACCTTCTGGATAACTGTAATTTTTAAAGTGGGACCATAGCATACATACAACTTACATTTGAGGTGTGACTAACGCAAATCGTCGTCCGAAGCGCGAGAAATTCTGATTCTAATTTCTTTTTTTTCCTTTAGATGCAATTAGAATAAACTCGGACCGTAAGGCTATACAAGAATTCTTTTCCCTAGAAAAAGAAGATATTATTTGTTGGGAATACGGTCAAAAAGCCGTATCGGTTCCTAATTATATGGTAATTCATGATCCAGAGACCAAATCTATAATTATATCTATTAGAGGAACAATGGTACGTTAACACTTTAATTATTATCATCCATGTCTAATTTGAAATGCTAAACTCCTATTTCATAATAGAATGTTACTGACGTGATAACTGATGCATTAGCACATCATGAACCTTGGAATGGAGGATTTGTTCATAGAGGAGTACTACGTAGTGCAAAATACCTTGTAAAGCATTCATTAAAAGATATTAGAGAAGCAGTAAAAAAATTCGAGTCCAAAGCAATACAAGTGATTGGACATTCATTAGGAGCTTCAATTTCATCAATTGTTACATTGTTATTAAGAGAAAAATGTCAAGATTTAATCGCTCAAGGTATTGATATACATGCGTGGAATTTTGCTACAGCACCTTGTTGTTCACTTGATTTAGCTTGTAAAGCCGAGACCGAAAATTGTATTGATAATTTTGTTAACGAGAATGATGTTATACCAAGATTGAGTTATGGAAATTTAATGGATTTTAAAGAGTTGGTAAAATTTGCCGCTAGTGAATTGAAAAATGAGAAATACAGAAGGGTATTTATTCAAAGAATTTTTTTTTTTATATAGAAACTATTTTATTTTATATTTTTATTAATAATTTCCATTTGTAATGATTATAGTTAAGTTCAAAAGATAAATTGGCTAAAATCTTAACATCAATTGATGATTATCGAACTTCTTTAAAATCAAAGTCTGCGTCACAAAAATTATATATACCTGGTACCATATATTATTTATATAAAGGATTTTATAGAACACATGTTAATTCTTCAGAGGCATATTATACAAAAGATATTGTATGTGAAAAATCTAAACCCGATTTATTTACGGATATCAGCTTACGTAGAAATTGGTTATTTCATCACTTTCCTGATAGATATGATAAAAAATTTAAAGGGGTAACAAAATCATTAATTAGAAAATTGCATGGAAAGGATTGTTATGGTAGAACAAGCGATAAATTAATGAAAAAATGGAAACAAATACCCGAAACCGAGATCGTTATCGAAGAATCTGGTAAAATGGGAAAGTTGATGGCAAGAACCGGTCATATTTAAAATCATTGTGGGAGGGATTAATTTCTTTAGTTGATAATTAACATTCGATGATTATGTATATTATAAATTTTAAAATTGTATTCATTTAGATTTTAAGACTTGTATTATTTTTTTGTTCAACATAAATTTGTATTTTATTAAATAAAATAATGTTCTAGCAAATTTTAAAGAAAAATTTTTATTTGGTTCAGCATTAACAGGCTAATTTTGACAATCATATGTAAAGAAATCGGCTGGCGTAATTTTTTCGTCAAAGTATTCCTTTTTAGAGTAGTATGCGAAGTTTTTATTTTGTGTAACAGTTGAAACAAAAAAAAGTTTTGTTCCACCATAAAAGGATTATTAATTTTTGGCAAATCATTAAGCTTCTATGAATATTTAATGGATCTATAATATAATTTTTTGGAGCAAGAAAAAATCAATTTTTAAACAGTTTATCCTCGAATTACATGAGCAATTGTCATTTCTAGAATATCATAAAAAAAGGGTTCAAACAAAAAATATATTCTCGACTTAACAATGAGCGACTCACCATTCCGCACCGTAACCATTGTTGGAGCCACAGGTACATTGGGTTATCATATCGCTGACGCTTTTTTGAATGATGGATCTTACAAGGTGAAAATTCTCCGAAGAAATCCGGAAAACGTAAATGCGAAAGCTAATTCGTTAGCCGAAAGAGGCGCAGAAATCGTATATGCGGATTACGGTCAAAAAGATGACCTTGTCAAAGCCCTTAAAGGAACCGATGTTTTAGTCAGTACCGTAAGTTACAAACAAGGTAATGATAATAATAGCTTTTACGAAGTTCAATTACCATTGTTGAATGCGGCAAAAGAAGCCGGTGTAAAGAGATTCATCCCATCCGAGTTTGGTAGTGAGTTTAAGTGCGTTTTGATTTGATTTTTTTTTTCTGGTTAGTGTGCTATGTAGAGTTGGTCTAATGATTTCATTTAATAAAAGGGGTTTATCTCATCAATTATCGGATGACAAAGCAAAATTCCGAGCAGAAGTTGAAAAAAGTGGACTTGAGTATACGATCATTTTCACCGGACTATTCTATGAATTTCTTGATTGGATAGGGTTTGACGTTAAAAAGAAGAAAGCCACGTTCTACACGGATCCCAACTTAACAATTTCTACAACTTCTTTACATGATGTTGGTAAATATACTGTTGAATCACTTAAAATTCCAGAGGCTCGTAACGCTCATATCAGAGTTGCTGGCACCACCTTGTCATTCAATGAGTTGCTTAAAAAGTTTGAAGAAGCTTCTGGTGAGTGTCTAACTTTTCATTCTAAACAATTACATTTAAAATGGGAGTTAATGATGACAATTGTAAAAGGCTCCAAGTGGGAAGTTGTTGAAGATAGGGAAATACGAAAACGTTTCCGAGAAAAGATCGACCCAGTTCCCTTACCTCATGAGGAAATGAAAGCTTTCATATGCGAAAACGCGCGATTCGCAAAGACAGATAATGATAAATTCAGCTTCACTCCTAGTTCTATCAATGATGCAATCGAAGCATTAGTGAAGGGCGCTTAAAAAATTTTGATTCATAATTCTATTGCAATTTTCTTCTACTATTATGTTAATAATTTCAAAATTAATTCATAAAAAATTTATGCCGTTAGATAAATCAAGTTATGAAGTTTTTTAAAATCATAAATTTTACCTAGATTATCGTTCTTGTACAAGTTTATATTTTTAAAGCCTTAAACATTCACAAATGGCATTGGTGAATAAATTAATTCTTCATAAAACTATGTAGAATATCGTATCTGGTAAACAAAAAAACAAGGTCTTTATGATTTGTATGACATTACACTGGAAAGACGATTCAAAGCCATTAAAACAAATCTGTCTTGTCGACCTTGTAACTGCGCCAGACCCACGATGGGTTACAATCATATGCGGAAATCAGGTAAATTTGCTAAAAGCATTCGCCCTCTGCTGGCGAGCGTTTGCCACTGGATCACACAAAGTCGAAATATGAGAATAATCTATATACTCGTTTAATTTTAATACCTTTATTATAAATATTTAGGACTGAATTATGTAGAAATACATCAAACAAATGATATCTCACTTTGCCATTTTATTAATAAAAAAAAGAAAATTAAAATTAAATTAAATAAGAAATCTTTTTTTGATTGTAATTAAATTGGCCTTGCTTCTGAAAATAAAGTAGTCTTCCATAATCCATATTCGTAAGTGTGAGGTGTCTGCCCGAGGTTTTTTGCTTTAAAAAAGGTTTCAATGAGTTATTCCAATTTTCCTAAAAATAATGTTCGGACTAAGTCGTGAGGAAGGAAAATAGCCGAAACCTTTTCCAGAATCAATAGACCTCACAACCCAGTCCGAACGAGAGTTTCGTAAAAGATATGTTTTTATATTAGTATAGTCAGAAAAAAATTAACATACAAAAAGAAACCTCAGAAGAGATCAAAAACAAAGTGATGCATTTAAAAAAAAAAACTCAATAAAAAAACAATACACACCGGGATAACGAGTGTATCCCAATAATTATCATTATTCGGGATTCATCAATAGTCGGACTAGTCGTGAAAGCCGGAAAAAAAATCTACTGAAACCTCAAAAAAAAAAAAAAAAAAAACAAAGCAAAGACAAAGACAAAGTTATACATTAAAAAACTCAATAAAAATAATAAAAATACACACCGGGATACCAAATAGATATTTCTTCGTTATTCTTTCGGTTCGCGTTGTACCTAAATGCCGGAATAGTCGTGAGGAAGAATCATAACCAAAACCTGTTTCGGAATCAGTAGACCTCACGACCCAGACCGATCGGGAGTTTCGTAATGGAGAAGTTTTTCACATGAGTATGGTCGCAAAAAAAAGCTACAAAAAGAAACCTCTGAAAAGACATGAAAAGTAATGTATTTAAAAAACTCAATAAAAATACACACCGGGGAAATGACATATTTCTTAAGTTTCGTTTCGTTTTACAGGATAGGAGACGATTCAGCACTTTTAAATTTTAGAAAAAAAAAAATTTGTATTGTAAGGAAAAGAAAAAAAAAATTATAAGGGAGGGAGAGGAGTAAGGAGTAAAGGAACAAAAGATGGAAATTGGCGAGTATTTATAATAAAATCAATGACGCGTAATGTGAAAAAGTTTATTTTCCTAAATTAATGAATAACGCGTTATTATTTATTGATCTCTGTGATGACGCAACGCGTAATTTTGGAAAGTCTAAAATCAATTTGTTAATTTTTATAGTAAAAAAAGTAATAATAATTCATACGAAACGCCTCATGTGTAATTTTTCTTTTGTAATATGTAGTTTAAAGTAGAAAGATGCTTAAAAATCAAAATTTCTTATTCCATTTGAAAGACTTGGGTAAGATGTCATTAATACGCTAATAAAAAAAATACTATCCTGTGGGTTAATTGTAAAGTCGACCAGAAGCACTCCTTAGCGAGTCTAGTTGGTAGAATTCTACACAAAAAAAAAGATTGAAGAAACTTTCAATTAAGCACATAGCCTTCAGATTTGCACGAATTTGATTGTGTTGCTCAAATAATTAAATTGTAAAGAATAGTTTTATAGTAGTTGTCGAAGGTGAGAAATATTTATTATTTAATCAATGGGTTATTTTGAAATGGATTTCTAATATTATTGATTATTTTAAGAATCATGTCATGTTAAAATATGTCCTTAAAAGACCATATCTTGAAGCTGAAAGTGAAATCCTTCCTCCCTGAAATTAATGTTTCTAATGTTGCGATTTCATTAAAGTCAACTTGAAACTTCCAAATTCTGTTCTTACCCAACTTCAAAAGTTTATTGAAAAGTTTCTGCCAGAATATTGGCTTATTTATTAATAAGTATGATCGAATCTTCGTATGAAGAAAAGCTGGTAATTTATTTATTACTTACATTTTTTCTCCTAAAAATCTTCAGCAGATATATATGTAATATTACAAATTAATTATTTTTATATAGCAAACCATGATTTAAAAGATCCGAATGTCAACTGCAATGGAACTCTTGACAAAACAAATACATGTAATATTATTTTCATTCATCCCTCTTGAAAGATAATATGAAATTGAATAACGTTATTATTATATTTTTTTTTTTTGCTATTTAGGTATTAAAGATCTCTTAAAAATTTTCAACGATTGAAGGAAAATTGGGTAGGAACAGTAAATTTATTTATGATAACAAGTAAAGATTTATATATTATATTTAGTATTATGTACTTATTTGGTTTAAATTACTTGTTAATAATATTTATAACTTCACAATCATCAATTATAAAGCTTACTGCTTAAAGAAGAATTGAGAGAACAAAAAGGTTCACCAGACGAAGAAGACGAATTAACAGATTTAACGAATATAATAAATACAAGAAGCTCGGGCTCTCAGAAGAAGGTAAAATAATTATTTTTGAATTCTAAGTTAACAATTTAATTATGTGGAAAATATTTTTTTATTTTAAAAATAACTAATAAAGCTGCACAAAGGGAGATCAAAAGTTTAAATGTATGCATCTAAATCTAACAGAAAATCAAATCGTTCGTACTTATTTAGAATGGCTTTTAGAAATTCTATGGAATAAGTTTACCATTGGTATTTTAGATATTCTCAGTAATTTGATTATTATAATCTTATGAGGCTAACGCACATAAAAAAAAGATAATTTTCAGTTAGCAAATGTGTTTTGTAATACTTGACCATTTAAAGATCTAAAAGGTACCACTTTTTGTGTTTACGTGAACCTTAAGGTGTTGGAAATACTTCATTGGGTTGGGTGAAATTATTGCAAATGCAAAAGTCTTTGGACAAACATTTTTTAGTATAACTTCACAATGGATGCGTCAAATCACGTGAAAAAAATATTCATTCGAAAGCCAAAAAGCAGGAGATTTTATTAAAAAAAATTAATAGGGTAGGGAATACGATCCCCATTTTTCTCGATTACAAGCTTACATCTCTCCTCCATCGACCCAACTGAACTTTTAATAATGTCCTGAGGAATTTTGACCATTCCCCCTTCATAAAACTCTCCAAATTCCTAATATTTTGTGACTGTCGCATCTCAACATTTCTCTTGACAATTGCCTATAAATTTAAATCGGGACTGTTGGAGGACCAATCCATAACGGATGAGACTTTCTCTAGCAAGAATTTCTTAGCTACTTTGCTTTTATGCTTAGGATCATTATCCTGCTGAAGCTGCCAATTGTTCTGAAACATTCTCTTGATCTCTGGGAGATGCTTTTTTATGATTTTAACATAGAATTCTCCAGTCATATTCTCTCGGAAGCAGTAAAGACTGGGGGTTTTCCCGATCACAATATCCACCCTATGCATTAATTCCTGTTCAGTTCTTTTGAATGCGACGAACTGGCCGTTGACTCTTATACGAATATTCCACAGAATTTCTAAATAGCCAAAAGGAAGTTTCATCTGAAAAAAACAGTCATCATTCATATATTTTTGGGCATATGCAACCTTGTAAGCAAGCATTGGGATTACAATGGAACGTTTCTTGTCATAGCCAAGGTTGGCTAAATGCCACAAAATCGTACTATAGGACACATCTGCATCCCTTAGCAACAATCTGGATGCTAATTTTCTAGAAGAAACTGCATAATTTCTTCTAATATACTGCCCAATAGCTTTCGAATCCTCTGAAGCGATTTTTTTGAGACGACCGGAGCGTTTTTTGTGGGCGGTACTTTGCCAGGTTATAATATATTATATTGTGGACCTTGGTATATTTGTTCATCATTGTATTTCGCCAGCTTCCCTAATCCCAGAATTTCACAAATGTTGAATAGATTGAGCCTGTGCAGTCTTGTTGTTGGCCTTCGTGAAAAAGTGAACAATTAAAACATCAGTCGATCATCCAGGAATTTTTGTAAAAATTGATGATTAATATTGCAAATCACGTGATCGCGAAATATGCCACTGGGCTAGTTGTATTACCACAAATACTGCGCCATTAAAAATTCGATTTTAATTTTTTCATTTGATTTAGGTAGAATCGATTCCATTTCTTACAACAAATGGTTTGTTCGACATTGAACTAATTATAAAGTTACAAAGCATGCATGATTTTCAATAAACATGAGAAGTAAATATTTTCTACAAGAGATAATTTTCTCGTTCATTAATTTATTTTTTTTAGATAAATTTGTGGTAATCACGGTACATCTATAATATTCTTTATAAATAAATTTATAAACCAAATTTTGGCTTTAAGAGTTGCGACAAATCAATGTTTTCAGATGGTCTTAAATGATTGTAACTACCTTCTTAGTTAAGGATACCAATTTACAATTTTAAACCATGCATTTTATATAAAAAAAATATTAATTTATTAAGTACCTACGTATGAACATCAATCCTTCTTTTTTCTTCGATTGAATCAACATATCAAGGCAATAACTTTACGTACGTGAATATATTTGAGATTATTACTTTTAAAGAAGTTGGTAGGTATTTCTAACCTATTTTTTGATGTGCATATATACTTCCAATAGTATAAAATTATGATTGGAAGCTTCCAAGATTGTGCTTCCAATAGCCGTTACTGTATGACATGATATAATGCCATATCCTTAGTAAAAAGACTATACTAAATTTAGGTGAGAATAGACATTGCTGTTTATTACGTCTCACAAAAAATAATGTTCATTCCGTCAATTGATCCTTGTTTCTTAAGGAATGAGTCGATAATGTATAAACAAAACCCAAATTTGTTAAATAATAATATATAAATTCATTATTTTATCTCTTTTCTCGCACGTGTAGTTCCCTATACGTGACAGTATCGTCCCCCTGATTGGTGAATAATAGTGACTATTCTATTCTGATAAATTCACATTATACAGTATTTAAATACAAGTTATTTATATTAATTGCGACATCTCTCTAAAAAATATATATATTATGAGAATTTATTATGTCTAAAGCTATTTTAAATAGAAAATTAAGCCTCTTCGGTTACTCAAGAAAAGGGTAGTGCTCTCATTATCCAATAAAATTTAAAAGGTCATTATTAATAAATTCGAAAATAAATTTAAACATTCTCATTCATCTCATTCAATTATTTAAGGTTAATCATCTGATATTTACAATGGTTTCTCTAAAATTTGTTGAAGGTGCAATAAAGAAAGTTAAATTAATCCGGAAGTACATTAACGAAATAAATTTTTATTATTGTTATTTGATTAATCTAAACCTATATAACATTTTTATTTTTTTTTAGGTTCGTGCTGTGCGGCGCAGAAAGTAAGCTCGAAGTATGTATAATAAGTTTTACAAAACGTTTTTATAAGGAAAAAATCGCATCCCTCATTAAAAATAAAAAAAAATAAAAAAAAAATAATAATAATTTAAAAGGAAGGGTTTAATGAAGAGAATTTTAAATGTCTATCGCTGTAGAATAAAAGATTGTTATATTACGGAATTTCAGATTGGCAGAACTCACGCGTACAGATATTGTGAATGGTTTTGTGGTGGATAATGGTGTGGTAAATAGTCGGATGATTGATTGTGTCTTCCCGAGCGAAATGATGCTATTTCATATATTCTACTTATTATGCTTGATAATAAGCTTATAAAGCTCACGAATAACGTCAATAATGGTACTAATGTAAAATTTATCCCTATTTCCTTGAAATACAGTATCTAATTCCAAGTACGGGAAGAAATATAAAAATCTAATTCGTTTTAAAATAAAAAAAATAAAGATTCCAATAAATATTAACATTACTTACAAGAATAATAAATTGAGGCAAATCTTCAATAATGACATTAAATAGACCAGCTATGAATAGATATTTTTTTGCGTTACAACTAAATGGAGCATTAAACACATTTGAATGCAAAAAATTCGAAGTAAGTAGCCTCAGAACTTCTATATGAAATGCTGAAAACAGTGTGAAAACTGTCGCTACGCAACCATGACTACAAATCCAAATACTAAATCTATCACTATTACACGTTTGTTGTATCATTATTACAAATGCAAACAAAATATTGAATCCTGCTGGTCCTAATAATGCTATTAAACTGAAAAGGCAAGTGAATTAATAAGGATTAATCGAAAGAAAGGACAATATAAAAAGTGTTTGAATTTAATACCTTGGAAGAAATAAGGACGGAACAGCCATGACGTTATTTAATAAAAATGCTATATCCAAACACATATCAACTGCGAATAATGTGAATGTGAATATTATTGCACTTCTTCCCTATTCAAACATTTAAATTACTTTTTAATATAAATATATATATTTTTTTTTGTATAAGAAAAAAAAAGAAAAAAAATTTACTTTAGGGTAGTTTTTTCGAGCGTAGAGATAAAAAATCACGAGACTTATTATAAATCCGCCGATCATAAATAATATTATTGGATTAACTTTAGTTATTGAAACTAAAATTGAATTAGGTTTTAATCAATATATATATTTTTTTTTAAAAAAAAAGAGAAATCGATGTATACTTACGAACTTCATTGCGAGCTTCATTTAAAAAGCCTCCAAAAGTAAAACTGACCTTGGACGTTGAATTCATTTGTCGTTTAAATAACAACACATTATTTTTTGGAAATTTCAATATTTCATTTGCATTTATAATGTTATCCATGATATTAAGGAACGTTATGAGTGAAATTAATTTTTATGATATTAATTTAAGGTGAGGAAGACATAAAAAAATTTTATCGAAAATCATCATGTTATATATATCTCCACTTTTGGTTTGGTGTACTGTACGTGTTTCCAAATATTATTTAAGATACATGATGATTTGTTACATGGGTTTTTCTTATATAGCATACATAATTTATTGCTATCATATCATATATTACTTGGAAAATATATATTTAATTCTCTTTCTGTTATACTTGTAGATAAAACGTTAAAGTCCAAAGAATGCTTCTAAGATACATTTGTTCATGGTGATTTACTAAACTTTAATCAAATTTTGTATTCTACGCCACAATATTTTTTTTCTTCACTTAATTAAATGTGAATATACTGATGTGATTCGAAACACGATCACAATTCGGTTTGTTTCAGTTTATAAAACTATATTGCAGATTTCTTTCTATGAAATCCTAAACGAATTAATTTTATGTGAAAGATAAAAACTTTAAAATGGCTAAAAACGATTGGGCATTCTAGATGTTTTATGATTCGCTATTTGAAATTAAATGTTTATGAGGGGGGAATTATAATACATCTCATCCTTTACACAAATACTTCTAAAAATATCAACGATGTGCAAATTTCAAGTACATAATTTTTAAGTGCTTTTTTAGGATTTGTTTGTATACACATTGTTACACGAATTCAATATTTTATATATTTTATTTTTGAAAGAACGGTTCTTTGTATTCAGTTCGGATATGGAAACCATAAGTAACGCATCGGAGTGTTTAGACCGTACAACAACGAAATCCTTGTTCCAAATAGAGTAAAATTACTATGAGCTGCAAACTTCCCAAATTTGGAATTTACTGTATCCATTATGTAACCCTAAAAAAAAATATTTACAATTTAAAATATACCAATTATACCAATTATAAATGTTTTTATTTTCTTCTCTAACCACGTGATTATACTATTGTCCATTTTCACGTGACTATTTTTAAAGTTTTTGTAAAGCAATTTAAAGTTTAAGATTAAAAATAATAAATCTTCATTTATTATTTTAATCAAAATAAACTATACTATATATTTAAAAAAATTTGAAATAAATTTAATTTTTTTAAAATAAATCAAAAAACATTTACCGTATTCCTCCGAAAATAAGCACTCCCCGAAAATAAGCATCACCAAGATTTATTAATACCCGAAAATAAGCATCCCCAC